TTCCTTCCTTCCTTCCTTCCTTCCTTCCTTCCTTCCTTCCTTCCTTCTTGAGACAAGATCTCATATGTAATAGCCTTGGCTGTCTTGGAGCTCACTATGTAGGTCAGGCTGACCTCAAACTCACAGAGATCCTCCTGCCTCTGCTTCTCAAGTGCTGTGATTAAAGGCGTGCACCACCATGCCCTGCTTCTCATTTCTTTTTAAGTTTCTCATTTCTTTCTTTCTTTTTTTTTTTGTTTTTTTGTTTTTTCGAGACAGGGTCTCTGTGTAGCCCTGGCTGTCCTGGAACTCACTCTGTAGACCAGGCTAGCCTCGAACTCTCAAACTCAGAAATCCGCCTGCCTCTGCCTCCCAAGTGCTGGGATTAAAGGCGTGCGCCACCTCTCCCCGGCTTCTCACTTCTTTTAAAGTTAAGTTTCTGGTGTTCTTATTACTAAGATTTCAGAGACGAAAGTGTAGCTTGGTGATAGAACATTTCCCCAGCACACACAGGGTCCTGGGTCCTAGTTACAATACTGAAAAGGGAAAAGAAAGAAGATTTGAGTGTTCTTGGAAAAAGGAAAAAAGTGTGATTTCTTCATACATTTTTCAACATGGGTCCACCATCAGACACTATGCAGGTGTTTGTCCCTTCTGTGGTTTCTCTTTATTTTCTGAGCTGCATTTTTAAATAACAGAAGTCCTTAGTTTGGGTAAAGTTCTCCCTGGTAGTTTTTTCTTGTAGGGATCATGTTTTTGGTAACATTTGCTTGACTCAAGGTCACAGGAATGTTTTCTGCTCCCCCCGCTCAAAGCTCTAAAGTTATGTTTATATGTTTAAAGGTTTTTGAATAACCTTTGTATAAGGGGTAAGGATCATAAGTTACTGACACTTTCTTGCCCAAATTGCCAGGTCACGCGAAAGAGACCAGAGAACAGCATCATGCCTCCACACTGGGCAAGACATAGCTTATGGCTGTCACCAAAGATCCCATACCTGTCACTTGAGGTTACACCATCGAAAAAGAACACACCAACACACCATCATCCATCCCTGACCATATCTACTCCCCAGCCCAAGACCACACGAATCACCCAAGACCACACCCACCACCCAAGACCACACCCACCACCAAGACCAAACCCACCACCCAAGACCACACTCACCACCCAAGACCTTGCCTGTTATCTAAAACATACCCATTGCTCAGCCCAAGGCCACACCCACTCCTAAGGCCTTACCCACCACCCAAGACCACACTCATTATCCAAGACCACACCTACCACCCAAAACTGTGCCTATCATCCAAAACATATCCATTGCCCAACCCAAAACTACACCCATCCCCCAAGAAGACCACACCTGTCACCCAAGACCATACTTATTACCCAAGACCACACCCATCCCCCAAAACCATACCCATTATCCAAAACATCCCATGCACCATCACCCAAGATCACACCCATGAATGACCCCAAATCATATCCATCCTAAGCCACATCTATTATCCAAGACTATACCCGTCATCCCAAATTACCCCACTCCTCAAAGATCACATCTGCCTTCTGCGTACACCGTCATTTAGTACGGTGAAACAAACTCTCAGCGACAGGCAGCAGGAAGTGTTTCAGTTTGAACTGTGCTGACAAAATGTCTTAGCACTGGAAGGTCTGTGTGCAGTTCTAGGCCAAGCTAACAGCTTCTCTTGTTCCTGGTCATAGATGGTGACTTTTTACTGTGTCCCAGCATAGCTGCAGGGGAAAGGCACCCCCCCCATAAAGGCATAATTTATCACCAGGGCTCTGTCTCAAGACAAATCTCTTCGTCAGGGTCACACCTCATTATGCCGTTACAGTGGGCTTTAGATTCCAATGAGAAAGGGGCAGAAGGAGCAGGAAAGCGCCTCATCCAGAGTTGTGGATTCCCTACCCAGGGTCCTCTCTAGCACTCAATTTACAAAGCAATCCCAGAGAGACAGTTGTTATAGATTCAATGACCTGTTTCTGGGTGGGGAAGGGGGATCCTGGGTGGAGATTCTGCGGGCTGCTTACCATGAATAATGGTCCTTCTCCTTCTTCTCCTTCTCCTTCCCCTTCCCCTTCCTCTTACCCTTCCCCTTTACCTTCTCCTTCCCCGACTCTTCCTTCTTCTTCCCCTTCCCCATCCTCTTCCCCTTCCCCCTCCCCTCCTCCATTCTCTTCCCATTCCCCTTCTCATTCTCCTCCTCCTCCTTCCTCCTCCTCTTGTTATTCTTGTTTCTTTTTCTTGTTCTTCTTCTTGTTCTTCTTCTTCCTCTTCCTCTGCTTCTTTCTTCTGCTTCTTCTTCCTCTTCCTCCTCCTTCTTCCTGTTCTCCTCCTCTTTCTTCTTCCTCTTCCTTCTTCCTGTTCTCCTCCTCTTTATTCTTCCTCTTCTTCCTCTTCCTCCTCCTTCTTCCTGTTCTCTTCTTCCTCTTCTTTTTCTTCTTCCTCCTTCTTCCTGTTCTCCTCCTCTTCCTCTTTTTTCTTCCCCTTTCTTCTTCCTCTTCATCCTCCTCGTCTTCTTCCTCTTCTTGTTGTTGTTCTTGTTCTTCTTCTAAAATGTTTTAATGAGTATGGGATCTGCTTTATTTACTTCCTATTAAGCTAAGAACCAGGCGCCCCGCCCTGCCTCCCAGGGCCACCTGTGACATCACACATGAGTGAATTGCTGTGCCATTGGGGATAATCACACAATTCAAAACACTCAGAAGTCCTGAGGTCTTTTGTCAGTGACCTACCTGATCCTGTTCCCATCTCTGAGTCAGGTCTGCCTCTTCTGGGCTGTCCACGGGGGCAATCATTGACTGTGTGGAGGGCCAATCCCTCAGTCTTGGTAAAAATTCCTGTTGAAATGCTCATTTTGTGGATGCCCTCAGGTTCTCTGACCAGTTTCCTATCTCTTTGCTGGGTCCTACATCTGGACCAAGATACTGACCTAATCCATCCTGGCTTCCCTTGCTCTGAGCTATAAATGGCTGTGCATGGTCCAGCTCCAGCCTTGGGACTGTCTGTGGTCTGTTCACCCTCACCTTTCTGCTTAGGCGTTGCTTGTTCTGAGAAACCTCCCCTGACTGCGGCACCTTTTGGTCATCTCTTGTTTCCTGTGTGTAACCTCTGTCCACTTGCCTGCTGCGGGGCTGTTTGTGATCATTATCCCGTTAGACCAGACTCTTCTGGATCCAGAAGCTATCTCACACAGGACACAGGAAATGTCCGAAAAGATCACACAGCGAGTGATTGCCCCTAGAGACATTCCAGGTGTGGCTGCTGTGTCACATGTGTGACAGCAGGTGGCAGAGAGGGGAGAGGCTATGTCTACGCTCTGTTGTCTGACCTATGAATGTCTGAAAGACTAGTAGCCTAACATTCTCTGAAAAAAAAAAGTGAACCTGAGATGACCACCAGTTGGGCACCAGGGGGCCTGGCCAGGTAGCTAGTCTGACATGACCACCAGTCTGGTGCTAGGCAAACCTGGACAGGCTCCCAGGATGGGGAGCAAGCCAGGACTAGAAAAACCCTACCTTGGACCTCGAGCCCTAGGCAGGAGTGAGCCCAAGTCAGACAACCCTCGCAAGGGGCCAGTCGGGCACTCTAGGTGAGGAGTGAGCTTCAGACAACCACCAGACTAGTCCTTGAGACCCAGAGAGAGAGCTAGCCTGAGATGGCCATCAGTCTGATACCGTGCAGGCCTGGGGGTTAGACCATGTCTGAGATGACCCCTGCCCAGAGGGATAGTACTCCTGAGACCACTCCTGAGATGACCCTAGACACTCAGAGACCCTGGACACCTCTAAGAGGAACAACTAATTGGTGGAGAAATGGGAGAGAGAGAGAGAGAGAGAGAGAGAGAGAGAGAGAGAGAGAGAGAGAGAGGTAGGCACAATGAAGAGAGGCAGAACTGGAGACTGGAGGGTACTGAGGAGCAGCCTGTTGAGAATAGTTGGTGACGGCACCTGGGACCTTGGTGGAGTCCTGGCCTGTGCTGCCACTGGGAGCCACTCTGGATCCATGGACCTACACCAGTAGGGGTCTGTCACCACCAAAGGCCAGATAGATGTCCCTAGTTTGCCATTTGGGGACATATTGATGTCTGAGGATTGTCCAGAGATGGCCCCACCCCAACCTGGGCATCACGGGAGAGCTGGCTCTGGAGTCAGGAGGGCAGGAGAGCTGACCTCACCCCTAGCCGCTGCAGTACTCAGGAGAATGGGCTTTGCACATTGCCTGAGAGAGTTGGCCTGCCCGCTTGTCTCCTGTGAGGTGGCATGGGCAAGAGAGAGACACCCTCCCCTCCCCTCATCCCCCATCACCTACAGTAGATAGGAGAACTGCCCTTGGAGTCACGAGAGCAGGAGAGTTATCCCCGTCCTTCACCACTCTGCAGCACTCTGGAGAGGGGCCCTGTACCTTGCCTAGGCAGCACAGTAAAGCTGACCTGGGTGGCCAGGGTTCACAGTTGAGCCATCCTGAAGGTGTGAGACAGCAGGAAAGCCAGTGGACTGACCAACTCACATGTCTCTCTGGCCCAGGTCCAGGGCTTTGAATTGGCCTGCCCCAACATCTACCCCATTGATGAACTGCTGGAGTGCATGAAGGGGCCTATCCTACAGATCCAAAATGACAGAATCTCCTTGACACAGGGCAACAGGCTCTCCAAGAGGAGAGGCATCCCAGCGAGGTATTGATAGAGTAGCAGAAGCCAGAGGCCTCGCACCAGACCCAGGAGTCATGGCAGTGAACATCTGCAAGCAAAGAAGGGTGGACAAAAGGGCGTACTGTGGGACACACTGACAGACTACAGCTTCATCAGCGAGGTATTTTTTTTTCTCTGTTGGAGGGGAGGTTGCAAGGGTGGAGGATGGGTATGAAGGAGGGAGGAGGAGAGGTGAGTAGGGTTGGGTGCATGATGGAAAATTCTCAAAGAACCAATAAGAGTTAAAAATCCAAACCAAACCAAACCATACAGTGAATGAGGGAGTGACAAAGCCCTACAGGTTCCTGGGATCTACCTCCTCCTCTCCCTCTACTCCACCTTGCACTAGTGTAAACATTCTCTGAGATGATTCTAGGTCTGGATCCCAACATCTCTCCTTTGCTAGCTCAATGATCCTTGGCTTCAGGGATGACCCCCCTGACCCTCCCCCCCCCCCCCCCCCCCGCCACCCAGACCATAGCGGTCTCATGAGGCTCCTTTCTGTGCTGAGATGAAGTTTAGTGTTGAGTGGTTCTGAGCTCTTTAAACTTCCTGAGGCCCGAGAGCACGTGCCAAAGTGTCACGCGCATTAAAAGAATCCCGTGGGCTGGTGTACAACTGCACAAATACCGTCAAAGGAGCGTGTGTCAAAAGGTTAGAGAAAATACCCTTTCACTTCACTATAGGGCGCTGAGAAAACAAAGGCAGGCGGCTGTCTGGGGGTGGGGTGGGGTGGGCAGAAACGCACACCTATTTCCTTCTTTCTTTCCCTTTCTTGCTTTCCCCCCTCTATTTCTTTTTCTCCTTCTTTCTTTCCTTTTCTTTCTTTTTCTTTCTTTCTTTCTTTTTTTTTTTTACCTTTCCCCAAGGAGCTTCTATGCTACCCACACTAATTGTAGGTTTTTCTGAAAATGCAGCATGAATCATTTATAAATAAAGAGGCTATAAAATCCCTAAAAGACTCCCTGAGGTATTCGGTATTTCAGCATAAAATAACTGTTAAATGGAGTTATTCTGAATTAGCTTTTACTGGTAGGTGGTGAAAACGAAGTTTTCTTTTCTCCGTGACTGTTGCGGTAATTCTTTTACACAGCCACCCGGGGTAATTGACAGCTGATTTCCATAATTCAGCCTCAGGCAAAGTCACTCCCCAATGTGGCTAGTTCTAGGGGTAAGGGAGTTCTTTAGGGAACGGCTCTTAAGCTGGCCAAAAAAGAGGCCAGCCCAGGGTCTCTATCTAGAATCTTGAGATTGCATTTAAGAGTAAACACAGATGCAACACTTGCTGTGTGGAGCCTGGAAAAAGCCAGTGGGTAAGGATGGCTTCAGACCAATCGCTGTCTCCTTCTAGCTGTGTGGCCTTGGAGGGGTTGCTAAACCTCTCTGACCCTCAGCTAACTCGAGAGAATATACCTGCGTTGTAGAGTTGTTAGGAAAACAGAGTGAGAGCTGTAAATGCCCCAACCCAGCTGAAGGTTGCTATGGCTGCAATAATTAATATCGATAACAAGACGACATCGAGTATGCAGAGAAAAGCACTTTGCCTCTGCTCTGGCTGCGGCCGACTGCTCTAGCAGGTGTGGCAACATTTTCAGGCTCTGTTATGTGCCAGGCGCTCTGTGCACAGGGCTGGGGTCTGCAGGTGAGTCGTTTAGTCTAGCAGAATAAGGCAGAGGGACAGGGACAGTCTGGAGAAGGTGACACCGGTGTGAAATGATGTGCAGGGTACAGCGAAGGAGGAGAGGGGTCAGAGGTTCCTCAGTGGGAGCAAGAAGCAGGCCTGGGGGATGGCTACTCAGATAGAAGGCAGCCACCTGAGCCAACCTGGGAAAACGGAGGGCAGTTCAGGTATCTGTCAGGCGTCTCTGAGGTAGGGACTAGCCCATTTTATTTGACTTCATCACTTGCTTGCCCCTGGGCAGTGCCACACCAGATTTGATGCAGGCTTCTCATTTATGTATTGGTGGGTGGATGAGTGGATTCCAGGGAAGACCCAGAGAACAAAGGAGCACTATTATAGCTGGTGTGCCGGAAGCAGCCGCCATAGCCCAGCCAGGCCTGGAGAAACTCAGGGTTAGAGAGAGCTGAGGAGGTAGGCTCCCTATGAGTGAGAAAGAGCTCTGGCCCCAGGCTCCGGGAAGGATTTAGGGCAGTGGTTCTCAACCTTCTTAATTCTGAGACCCTTTGGTACAGTTCCTCATGTTGTGGTGATCCCCAATTGTGCAATTATTTCATTGCTACTTCCTGACTGTAACTTGCTACTATTACAAATCACAGTGTAAGTATCTTCCATGCAGGAGATCTGATAGGCGACCCCTGTCTGGGTTGGGACCCCCAGGTTGAGAATCGTCGATTTAGGGTCATGAGCGCACTGGCTCTCCTCTCTGGGTACACCTTCCCTGGCATGTCTGATGGCACGTTGGAGTGGAGATGTCTGGGTGCTAGCAGGAGATGTGGGCTTGACATGTCCACGAAACTCCTCCCTGGCTGTCTCAGTTCAGTGCACAGCCCAAGGTCACGTTGGATGCTGGGTGTAAAATTATGCAGAGGGGTCCCCTTCTACTTTGAGATTGATTGACAAATTGCCATGCCACTCAAACTCGTCTTCAGCTCCTCATAAAGAATGAAAGAAGGTGACATGTCCGGTGTACGAGGGAAAGGGCACCACGCCCTCCAGACAGTCAAACCATGACCTCTGAGAAGCTTCAAGGAAACACAAGGTGGACGTCAGAGGCAGCCGTTTACACACTTTGTGTGTGTGTGTGTGTCTGGCCTTGTTCTCACACTTACACAGTTTGCATATCTCTCTTTCACCAACACCTACATACACCCACCCTCGTCCTGTAAGGTGAGTAGCTGCCGCATGTGTTCACACCTCTGAAGAGTGTGTGCACACACAGACAGATGCCCACCTCGCGGGGTGCGCAGTGGCACCGTTCCAGCCACTGGAACCTGGGTGGCTCTCGGCACTTGCTTCTGTCAAGTTCTGCCCTGTCATTTCCTGAACCCTTCAGAACCCAACGTGTACCTACCCAGGATGGTACGAAGCAGGAAGGTAACTCCAATAAGCCATGAAGGTGACCATCTCCAAGGACAGCTGACCAGACTCCTTATATGGCACTGCCTCCTTGCCCAAGCTCAAGACTCAGGGGAGCTGGCAGTGTTGCCCTAGCTCAGGAGAGCCACAGCGTCAATGATGTAGGTTTGAGTTTGAAGGCAGGCAAAGGCTGAGGTCCTAGCTCACCCAGTCAGGCCTAAGTGAACTCTGTCTCCTTGTGTTCTAGTTAGGCCCTCAGCAGGTTGGGAGGCACTAGCTCACCTAGGAGAGGGACACGGGATTGGCTGAGATGTCTTGGAGTCAGATAGATGAGCAGGTGCCTGGGCCTCTTGTGGCTGGATTAAGCGGACATCTCGAATTACCCATCACACCTAAGAAGCCACGACATGGATTCCTGGCTTTTGTCCTGCTCCCTGCAACATCTTATGCCCTCACAAGAATTATGAAATAAATGTGGTCCCATTTTATAGGTGTGAAGTAGAGGCTTAGATAGATGAATCTGAGACCTGACCAAGCAACATTACTTGGGCCAAACACAATTCTTCTACCCTAAAGTCATTCCTTTATTTGCTTTTGTGCATATGGTTTTATTTATCTGTTTGTTTTTGTTTATTTTA